CCGACATACCGAAAATACATGTCTGATAAACGGATAGAAAAATTCAGGGATCTGACATATTACGGCCGAAAATGGGAAGATTTGGAGGAAATGGATGAACAATACCATCCGCCTTCAACAAAAACACATTTCCCAGCAGCAGCACCAAAAACCAATAAGAGGATAGCAAAAACCTCAACGGTACAGAAAAATGAAACAAAACCTGACAATACACGTGAAAATCCTCAAAATAATAACAGAAAAGACAAGACAAATAAAACAAAACAAAATAATACACAACAACAGACCAAGCAAGAAAAAATATATGCTACACCCATGATGGCACAAATTGCAGCATACCAAGGACCACACCAATACTTGGGCTTCCCACCAATCAAACAAGAACGACCATGGACAAGCCAAGAAAGATCACAGACAGCAAACAACAATCAGATAAATGACAGAATAAATTATCGGAACCAACAGAGACAAAGTTACAACCAAGGTCAACAAACACCGACATCAAATGGAGTGGAAACAAGATGGAATCTGCCCTCACTGATACCATTCCAAAACAATCAAACAGACAATGATAATACAGTGAATAATGATAATCAGACCGACAGACAAAACAGAGAACCATGCAAATGCTGCCAAGGTGATCATAACTACCGACAATGCCCAAAGAACCCTTGTTTCTTCTGTTACCAACCAGGTCATTATGCAGCATCCTGCCCAAAAAGAGAATCTTTATTCCCAAAAACAGGACCAAGAATAAGACAGACACATTGCCAAGTTTGTAAAAACATAGGCTCGCCTTTTGACTTTTGCAAATTTTGCCAACATATTCGTTCTGAGTTGTTGGGAAACGCGCTAGGTGGGGAGCAGACGAGCCCACTGCCTCCCCCCGATTCCCAATAATGGGCCAACATGACCATATAGAGGAAATAACCATGAAAATGGCCTCCCATATAGAAATTGATACGGACTCAGAAGAAAATACTCGCCCAATATGGGAAAGATCATCAGATGACGATAGAGGGATAAACAACCAGACATCAGAGGAAGATGAAAACTGCACTGACAGACATACCACTCCAATAAATGGGCAAGAATTATCCTGGATTGATGAGGAACCACTCAATAAGTTACTGAAACGCCTCAAGGATCAAGAGACGTTACTATTTGACATGGATGGGGAAATACAAAACAGTGAACAGTCAGTGGAAAACCTAACATTTCCACCAGCCGAAAAAGTAATAGTAATGAACGACATCGACCATCAGATTCCAACAATAACAGACCAAATAATAGAACTCCCAGACAAAATAGATACTGTTATACCTGAAGAAAAACCTGAAGGAACGCCTAAAAGAATAATAAAAACCGTGAAATTCCTAGACAAGGAAGAGATAATACAAACAATAGACGAAGAACCTACAATACCCTCACAATCAGACCTACCAACAGCTAAGGAACCTGATAAAAGACAACAGAAAGCTTTAGATGAGACTAAAGACAAAAGCAAGACAGCGACATTGACCGCACCTCCACAGTCGATAGGAGGGTTAAGCTCAGACAGCAGGTGTTTCATACCAATTAATATTGGTAATATAGCATATGACGCCCTAGTTGACTCAGGAGCAGAACTCTCACTAGTAGGACCGGAAATAACAGACAGATTCAAAGAAAGATTAACGCCTAGTTGCACTACAATCCAAGGAATCACGGGAAAAACCGAGAAAACCATAGGCGAACTTCCCCTACAGATTGATTTCGATGGACATACACAGAAATTTAGATTTAAGGCAATGAAAAACCTACCTGGACCGCCAATTATCTTAGGTCTAGATTTCCTGACACAGTGGAACATGCTTATACTCTTCCGAGAAAGAAAATGGAGAGTACATAATGGCAAATGGCATCATCTACAACCTAGACAACCGACACAACGAGAAGCTTTCTACGCAGAATGCGCTGGCCTAACAGAAATTACACCTGACCAAACTAAACGAATCAAAGAAATAACGGACCGTTTAATACCACCTATGACTGACAAACTAGGAAGAACACCGATAGTAAAGCACATAATAGATGTAGGTGATAGCCAACCAATAAGACAAGGTCTACGACGAATGTCACCAGCAATACAAAAAATAGTACGAACGGAAATAAGGAAAATGTACGAAATGGGCATTATCCGACCGTCCAAAAGTGCATGGCGTAGTGCCCCAGTAATGATAAGGAAACCTGACGGTTCCTGGAGATTCTGCATTGACTTTCGCGACTTGAATAAGGTTACAAGGAAAGACGCATATCCACTGCCTAACATGGATTCAATATTAGACAAATTACGACACGCCAAATATATTAGCAAAATTGACCTTAAACAGGCCTACTTCCAAGTAGCCCTAGATGAAAACAGCTGCGAATATACAGCTTTTGCAAGCCCAGGTGAAGGATTATGGGAGTTCATAGTTATGCCATTCGGACTCGTCAATGCCCCAGCGACCTTTCAACGATTAGCTGACGCATTATTTGGACCTGACTGGGAACCTCAAGTATTTCCATACCTTGATGACATTATTATAGCAACCAAGACCTTCGACGAACATACCAAATATTTAGAATTAGTACTACGCCGAATTAATGAAGCTGGACTGCAGATAAACGAGAAGAAATGTGAATTCGGCTGCACTCGTCTCAATTACTTAGGCTTTTTATTAGACCAAGAAGGATTACGACCTGATACAGACCGAACCAAGACAGTACTTGAGTTTCCAAGACCCAAAACAGTAAAGCAATTACGTAGCTTTCTAGGGATGGTCGAATGGTACTCTAGATTTATAAAAAATTGCTCAGAAATAAAAATACCGCTACAAAAGTTACTAAAGAAACATCAAGTATTTAATTGGGAAACTGACCAACAAGAAGCGTTTGACAAGCTAAAAAGAGCATTAACGGAAGCCCCAGTATTAGCAAGACCAGACTTTGCACGACCATTTACGGTTCAAACAGATGCAAGTGATTTTGCGATTGGAGCTGTGTTGACTCAAAACTTTGATGACGGCGAACACCCAATAGCATATATTAGCCGAACGCTGACTGGACCAGAACGAAATTACTCTGTGACTGAAAAGGAACTGCTGTCAATTATGTATGCCATCAAGAAATTGAGACCTTACCTTGAGGGGTATGATTATACAGTTATTACCGACCATTCAGCCCTAGTATATCTGTTTAATATAAAAGAACCGAAAGGTAGACTAGGAAGATGGATATGTGACCTTATGCAAGAACGAGTGACCTTCAAACATCGTAAAGGCACAATGCACAAAGTACCAGACGCCCTATCACGAATTAATGAAGAAGCTAATAAAATCTCAGCCTTTACAACAGTGCAAGATAATTGGTATTTAAAAAGACGTAAAGAGATAAAAGATAAGCCGGAAAAATATCCTGACTGGAAAATTGAAGATAACATGATATATTACAGTAGATCAGACCCAATTATGGACCCGGTAACTAATGGAGAAACAGAATGGAAACTAGTGGTACCTGACGAATATAAGATGGAAATATTGAGGAATGCACACTGCCTACCAGTAGCGGGACACCTAGGAATAGAGAAAACATATATGAGGATCGCTACGGAATATTACTGGCGAGGAATGTATACTGACACCTATAACTTTGTCACAAAGTGCCCATTATGTCAGAAATTTAAAACCAATCAACAAGGTCCACAAGGTCTCATGGGACGACGTAATGTAAACCGACCATGGGTCATAGTAGCAGCCGACACCATGGAATTCCCACGGAGCAAAACACAGAATAAATACCTATTAGTTTTCCAACATCTCTTCACACGTTGGATAGAAATGAAACCGGTACGTTCCGCAGATGGAAAAACCGTTGCAAAAGCACTGGAAGAGTTGATAATATTCAGATGGGAAACACCTGATTACTTATTGACCGACAACGGGAAAGAATATGTTAATAAGCACTTAGACAGCATGTTAAATGAATATGGGATTAAACACAACACGACAGTCCCGTACCATCCACAGGCCAATCCAGTCGAGAGAAGTAATAGGACAATAAAAACAATGATAGCGACGTACGTAGAAAATGACCACCGAAATTGGGATAAACATATCAACGAACTCAGACACGCCATAAATACAGCAATACAATCTACCACGAAAGCATCCCCAGCATTTCTAAATTATGGTAGACAACCAAGATTGATAAAAAGCTTACGAAGGAAGATAGAATCAAATGAAATAGAACCGACACTGACACCAAATGAATGGACGGAAAGGTTGAAGAGACTAAGAGACCTACATGAGTTTGTTGAGAAGATTATTGAAAATTCACACGATAAAATGGCTGACCGATTCAATACTGGAAGAAAGTTGACCGAATATAAAACCGGAGACCTAGTATTAATCAAAACACATCACCTATCGAATGCAGCGAATAAGTTTTCGCCCAAATTAAGCGAAAAATATGAAGGACCGTTTAAGTTACAACAAAAGCTCTCAGACACAGTATTTACTATCGAAACGATGACAAAGCGGAAAGTTGGCAAGGTACACGTGGAACAGCTAAAACCGTTTAAAAGCGCTGACAACAACAACTACGACATTAAACCCTGCCAAGAAAACAAGCAAACAGAAAAATACAAAACAGACAATAAGATATTGAATAAGAAGATTGAAACTGACCATAGAGACTAAAAGAAACCAACCCTAACCTTGACAGGATAACTTTTATCCTAATAACCTAGCAACAATTAACGACCACAATACCCACTAAAACCGTTATTAGACCGCATGTGTATCTCCAAGGTGATGGTTGTGTTGTCTGACAAGTCTGGACAGGCAAGCCTCTCCAGGCATAAGGGGGAGGTAAAGCCGGTGGCTATGACCCCCAGGAAAGATTCCAGTGACTGCATGCACTGTGCTGTCCCGACCCATGACCTATGACCTGGTACTAAATTTATTTTCTTTCAGAAAATGGCACCGAGCATTCTAATCGCCAAGAAGAAGGGTCTGAGCATGGTGGTGAAGATCCCGCTGACCGCAATCCCCAGGACCATCATGGGGACCAGGGCGCGGCAGATCAAGCCAGCTCAGACCCGGGAGACGGACGGCGAAGAGGAGAGCCTTCGCCTGCAGGCACTCTCCACCATGCCGGGGTACCAGGAGGGAGTGGGGGCTCAGGCCATCGAGCCCACCACAACCCACTCGACAGAAGACCCGTCGTCCTGGTACATCCAGGACATGGTGGACGAGATAGAGCGGGAGAAGGCTCGCCTGGAGGTCACGGAGGCGGAGGACCAGCGACCGCCGCGCCCCCTCCCGGTGGGACAAGAGCGGGAGCGCCTCCTCCGCTGGGCCCTCACGTTCCAGACCCGCGTTCCTGAAGCGGACTGGCGACGGGAGGAGCGTCAGCGGATGGAGGTTGTTCGGGCCATCCGCGAAGAGGCCGGTGCGGCGGTTGAGGAGGAGGACGGCGGAGCAGTCGAGACCCTATCTGAGCATGGGACCTCCAAGTCCCATTGCTCAGATACCTCTAAGGGTTCCCGGCTGTCATTGGATGGACAGGCGGAAAAAGAACTGGCGGACTACCTGGGCGGCGACGCGGAGTCGGTACCAGATGGGAAGGGGGAAGTCACCAACCCCCAACCTACTGGACCATCGACTCCGCCCCCAACACTCCGTCGCCCAAGAGTGGTACCATCACCACTCTCCACCGCCACCGCCTGGACCACCATCGCTGAGAACACCACCACCTCAGCCACCGCCGGAACCACCATCACCTCAACCTCCGCCCGGAACACCACCACCTCAGCCGCCGCCTGGACACCGACCACCCTGACCATGACCACCAGCGCCCGGAACACCACCACCTCAGCCACCGCCTGGATGACCACCACACTGACCACGACCACCACCTCACCGACCACTCTGACCACCAGACCAATTCCGACCACCACCTCACCGACCACACTGACCACCACCGCTCTAACCACTACAACCACCATCAATGCCCGACCACTGACCGACCCCGGAAAAACAATACAGCCAGCAATATCCAGAAACCGAGGTCACCCTGGCTGGCTGCCGGTGACCTCGGCAACTCCAAGGACCGACAGAGTACCGACCAACCCACGACAGACCACGCCCAGGGTGGACCCGGTCGACAGGCCGGAGATACAGAACCTGCACTACCGGACGGCCAGCGGGAAACGCCGCAAGTACAACCCGCGGCGGCATCTTGAACTGGACGACCTGGTGGGTGCGGGTGATGAATCCGGGGAGGGGTCCGATTACGATCTACCAGGACCCCCCATCGACCGGGTTAGGCAGACCACCGCCAAAATGCCATCCTGGGGCAGCCTGCCTCGTCGAACAGGGGCAGGCTTCGGACATCTGACGGAGATTCCGACGGACCCCACAGTTGACCCACCATTCCGTGCCTGCTTCAACTGATGGCAACTGGACCACAATTTTGGGAACTGCCCAAAGCCTAAAGATGGGCAGTTCTGCGGAAACTGTGGTCGCAGGGGTGTGGATGTGTTCAACTGCCCGAGGTGTGCCAAGGCTTATGAGCGGAGGCACACACCTTCGGGTAGGAACAATCCGGTGGACCCACCAGCTACCCCACCGAGGCATCCACACCCGCCTAGCGGCCGGAGGGGATGGGCGGACGAGGGCATAATACCATCCACCTCGTCCGGGTCCGGATGGGATAGACGACCACCGGACCACTATACGGAACAACATGCTAGCCGAGACCCCAACCGAAACACCGACCACGCTGACAATCGACCACTGACCGATCGACCCCGAGACCTGGAAGAATCGCCACCCTCCTACCAGGAAGCCACTCGAGGTCGATCACCGACCAGACGACCGACCTCCAGCACCGGGGCGATACCCCGCACCAGACTCCCTACCTCATCGGCCAGGCCATCGGCGGAGGAACGAGCGAGAGAACTGGTGCGGAGGCCCAGGAACCGGGCGTCAGAAGATGAGGCCGACGCTGACCTGCGCCTGAGGGAGCTACAACAGCTCCAACGCGCCCTCCAGGAACTGGAAGAGAGGGAGTGGCGCGATCGCTCCCGCAGGCGCGGGTATCACTGACTTGAAAAAAAAAAAAAAAAAAAAAATGGAGACCTGACCAAAATAAATGCCAGGGTTATACCCTGGCTTAACATATCCGACCGGCCATTTATTTAAAGACCTGACCTTTCTGACCAACCAATAGCTCGTAAAAATCCAGTGACATCAACGAAAGGATGCAGCCAAGCAGACCAATTCGACCAGGCGTCCAATGATAGCAGACCATGGTACCAGGGGGGGAAACCCTAACAGGTAAGATCCAGACATACGGGGTAAGCTGAGAACGTGGCGGCGAGAACAAGGGAAACGGCAAACGGACGGTACACCTGGTAGTGTACCGGCTTAGGGGGGGGTTCTGTAATGCGGTGCATTACAAGGCCTTTTCAGAGAGCGTTGCGCTATTTGCAACACCTCAGAAAAGGCCATTCCTGTCCCTTGCCGCCCCGTAGCCAGCTGAAAATACGTAATTAAAACGCGCCTAATGCGAAAATCATATTTTCCCTTACATGCCAACCACGACTAAGTAAACAATGAAAACAGGCGAGCTGTCGCGATCCGACGGATGAAAAAAAAAAGAGAGCGCACGAGAGAGAGAACACATGCACACACTCCTGACCACGTGTTGCCGGCGGGCAAGAAAAACAAGAAAACTTGACAGAAAAGTGCAGCGGAGATGCACGTAACGACACGTACCGACCCGTTACACTCCCAGACACTGACACTGACACCCGGAGCACGCTGACATTCATGGGGCGAACAGAAAATCGCCGATGAAGCGGCAGCCGGCAATCAGCTGAGTCAGGCTGCTGCGCACCATCGACGACACCCTGAACGCCACACACACACTTGATATGAACTACTGCCGACACTCACACACAACACTCCGAAACCGCACACGACCGAAAAACGGAGCGCTCCAGGAGGCGCTACGATTACCGGCACCGAGACACGAGGTGCACGCGTTAAAGAGTAGGCGGCCATTTTGGAGCGCTAAGCTAGGTAGAACGGCAGCGCGGTAGACTAAGCGGGAGTGCGAGCGAGATAGACTAATTAAGGGGAAGAGAGAGCGAGATAGATAGATTACTAAAGGCGCGCCTATAGTTGACTCAAAATTACGATATTTATTTGTACGCGTATGCGAATTAATTGTAAATAAATGTAAAGCGATTTAAAACTTGTTTTAAATTTAGAACTGACTTAAATTAAATGTATTAATTATAATTGAACCGTATCGTACGGATTAAATAATGTATGTAATTTCGCACGCTCTTATATATACTTGAAAGCGATAAGCCGCGCATTTATTGAAATTAATAGCTAGCCGATGAAATTTGAAACTCTGACGAAATTTGTTGATGACGTCACGACCAATAGGCAAATCGTTAGGATATTTGATTTCCGTCCTCATCAAAATTCCGACAAGAGTAGGGATGAATCTCTCTCTTAGATTAAATGCTGACCGACCTAGTGGGGGGTGAGAGAGGGTAAAAATTGATGCGTAATAGATAAGACGAGGGGCGCTGTTACCTTCTTAATTTATATATTGACCAATAACGACACACTCGGAGGGCGCTACCGATATCCGAATTTACATATCGGCCAATAATAGTGTTTCTTCTCGGAAAGAGGAGAGAATGAGAGATCTTTGACCGCGGAGAACCGTTTCTCTTCCATTTTGCCACTGGATCTCGCCAAGGACAGTTCCGAGCGTAGATAGCAAATCGAGCATATTTCTTTGTGAAGGATTTATCGCCGCATTATTCCCAAGTAAGTAGTTGAAGTGTGACTGACCTTCGCGAATAGTTAGGGCACTAGGATACGGGTAGGCCGTAATTCGCCGAGGCGCGTGGATCCGTCGCGGTCGTGATTGCGAGTTCTGACCGAAGCGCGTTGACCTTCCGCCATTTCAGTGCGCGGTGTATGGCTTTACGAATAAATAAAGTTAACTTGATATTGCGTCCCGATAATTTCACCTAAGTTCCAATTTTCCTCTGCAAATTATTTTCAGCCGCGGACGGAATCTTATAAGTAAAATTTGAATTAATTTTCTATTTACGGTAACGAAACGTACGATTCGACGAAACACGACCTGAAACAAAGGAGTGAGAACTAAGCGGCCGGATATCCTCTGTGGTTCTGCTGGAAGCAGGATATTGGATAAAGGATTGATTTGAACGAGAATGTCAGGACAAACATCGTCGGAGCTTTAAGTGATTTTTTTTTAAGTTTCGAACAGTTTTGAAATTTTGAAATTTCATCGCCCGCTCTGCGCAGTCGCACGGCGGGCAATTCTACCGACGAATTCGCCGTTGACTCGATTTTCCAACGATCACTGTAGGTAAGGGCGGTGATCTGACACCCTGCTACCAAAGTTAGGAAAATCACGTCCAACGAAAATTGGTGTTAGCGATTTTAGCTGGTGAGGCCTACGCCCCCCGAAATCCCCTTTCACAGTTTAATTATTTATAATCGTATTAATTTTAAGTATATGTAATTTTTATGCCATAATTTTGAAATAAACTGAAAATATAAGCACACAATAAATAAAATCATTAAGAAGAAATCTTTCCATTTTGGCGTATTTAAAAATATAAATTTTATTCGGAATAAATAATAATCAAAAATAAATTTATTCTTCAACTTCCGCGTATTATACGTAAAATATCATCAAACATCGATCGATATTCAAATTGTGAAATGAAAACTATCATTTACTTGTTATCACTAGAAAATCGATGTTGCAGAAGAATATTTATAACTTTATTCTACATTGACAAAATCACATAGACGAATTTGCGTCGATCATGCAAACTCCAAACACTTATAATAGAAACGTTACTATGCACCAGTCGTCAGAAATAATGTCTTGTTTGCATGAGAGCTGAGAGAAAAATGAAGAAGTATAAGAAACCATACTGGCTATTCCAAAATATTTATTTATCCCCACGCTCACCCTCGTTCGTCTCCTGGTTGCCAAATTTTGTTTTAAGGCCTGTAACCTTGTATAAAATGCATCGGTGCTACTGACGAACTAGAGCTCAGAAACTGCGAGTCATTAGGGAGTCTTAATCCCTCGAACGTGCTCGGGCCTGGATTTTTTTTATGGGCCCTTTGTCACAGCAGTTGTGAAGCGACGTGTCGGCACTAATTTCAATAATCTTAGGCATAATATTTTAAGATTTAGACAATTTCGAGGTGAGAGTAGTTGGCTATAAGCATATTGACTTTTGTACATAACGTACATATACATACACGGCTAAATCACATAAAAATCGCCATTTACTTTGCAAGACAGTTTCTCGCAAATGGGGCACAATGATATTGTGCCGTTCGGTGGACATTAGCTCATAAGGCAACATATTAAAAATTCAAGGAAATTATAGGTGATGTATTGCGGTCCTTCGGCTGGTAGACATTACGAATGAAAACACCTTGAAAATTTGCAATTTTTAGTATTTAAATATATTTTTTTATATTGTCATCAGTCATTGCTCGATTAGATAAAGCTACTTCAAGCTTTTTCTTTTTTTTTAAATCTTTTCCACTTTCATATGGTTTCAGATTATTATTACCTTTACCATGCGGTTTCGAAACAAGTCCTTTACCAATAGCTTCCATAGTTTTATGTGTCTATGACTTATAGAAATCTCTTTCAATTCATTTTGAGCTGTCTTAGCACTATTAATGACTTTTGAGTCAGCTTCTCCAGCTAGAGCTCCAGTGACGCGCAAAGCGACAAATAACGGAATTAAAAAAGGTAGAGCTACACCCACTTTATTTGGAATTGATACAATACAAAGCATATATACGAGGGTGGTCCGATAAGTACTTAGCCTCACCGCCCGATGGCGCCACTCTCGCAAAAGAAATATTCTATCACGTAGTACAACCTTCTCAATGGTTACTGCCAAGATTTCAGCGGGATCGGAGTTGTAGTTTATTTTTGAGAGCGTGTGAAAGCAAGTATGTCCGTTGATTTTTGAAAAATGGAAAAAGAGTAGTATCGCTCGGTGATTCGATTCTTGTTTTTGGAAGGGAAATCGCGCAGCGAAATCAAAAAGCGCTTGGATGCTGTGTACGGTGACTCTTCTCCTTCGATGGCGACCGTCAAAAATTGGTTTAACGAGTTTCAACGTGATCGCACGTCGATTTTTGAAGAGCCACGTCTAGGTGCACCGAAAACGGCTACCACGGAGCCGTGACAACGGATAACGTGACAAAAATTCACGATCTCGTATTGGCAGATCAACGATTGAAGGTGCACGAGATAGCTCAGATCGTAGACATCTCAAAAGACCGCGTGTGTCATGTCCTGCATGAAATTTTGAACATGAGAAAGCTGTCGGCGCGATGGATGCCGCGTTTGCTCACTCCAGACAACAAGCGCAACCGTGAAACAACTTCAGAGCAATGTCTGACGCTGTTTAAGCGCAATCCGAAGGAGTTTCTGCGTCGTTTCGTGACAGTCGACGAAACATGGAACCACTGGTATACACCAGAGACCAAGGAATAGTCGAAACAGTGGACTTTACCCGGCGAAAGTGCTCCGAAGAAGGCGAAGACTGCCCCATCGGCCGGAAAGGTGATGGCCACTGTTTTCTGGGATTCATAAGATGTGATCTACATCGACTACCTGGAGAGGGGCAAAATGGTCACAGGGCTGTACTATGCCGAATTATTGGACCGATTCAATGTCGAATTGCAGAAAAAACGGCCCCATTAGGCGAAGAATAAAGTGCTATTCCACCATGACAACGCACCGGCTCACACCTCCGCTACGCCATGGACAAATTGGTCGAATTAGGCTACGAACTGCTGCCCCATCCACCGTATTCTCCAGATTTAGCCCGAATGTATCGAACTAAAAGGAGACTATGTTGAAAAATATAACGCCACTTTTCCAAAATTTTCGTTTTTCTTTTGTAGGCTAAGTACTTATCGGACCGCCCTCGTATATATATTTTTTTGCCACCAGCTGCCTTCACAACTTTTTTAGCAGTTTTTATAGCCAAATAACAAAC